ATATCAAATTATTTTAATACATTTTTTCTTAGTCGGAACGCACCGTCGCGTCGCGTCGCTTGGACTGGCAGGACGAAACAGTAGACGAATTTCGCCCGAAAACCGATTTGCACTTCACAGCTTTTCATTTTTTATTATTTCCAAATGAAACTCTTGCAGCGTGATAAAATCAAAGTCCACAGGGTGCTAACGATCCACTTTTTGTATTTTATCCACTAGGATCTTTTTAAAATAACAAGAAGTTGAGCACAAATAGTAAGCATTTCAATACACCATAATTCTTGCGCAAAGACAAAATTTTGTAAAAAGCTCTGATCGCACCTTAGGCAATTATGTCCTGCTTATATCCAGAAAAACATCACAAACTGCAGAACACAAGTTGAAGGTAATGGCGAAATGGGTACATTTCACGGGTCATGAAATTCAAATCAAAATGCAGGTATAAAATCTACCAAATTATCGTTCTCAAAAACATATTTCCTTGACATATCGATAATTTTAAAGTTCCACGCTAAATTCGCCTATACTTGACTGGAGTGATATCCGAATTTATTCTTCCGTACTGTCGGTAGTTGCAGATCTGTTGACTTTTTCAAATCGTGAGCACATTATTCGTCGGATTTCCTGTAATCACTGGGATCAGAAGCTTCTTAATAATAGAACGTGTTTCACTGACATCAAAGATGCAACATTTAGAATCACCTCTCCCAACACCCACTTTTAAAGAAGTACAATTTTTTCTGTCAATGGTAAGGAACCCCTGTAACGTCAAAACCGGAGTGTGGAAATTTCATAAAAATCCGAGCGGTTATTTCCAAGTTGATGAGTGATACAGTGTTTCATATGACTTAAAAAAACAACATCTCATTTTAAAAATTTTTCGCGATTCGCCAATGACGTGGGAAGTGTAACGGCTTTAAAGTCGAGGAGTATCAGCGATCGCGATTATGAGTACCTATTTGAAGAACGACTTATCTACGCGATATGATATGAAATAGGGCCACCAAATTATCTGAATACTTTCTTAGTCCGTACATTCCGCCGCAACGCTTGGGTTGGCAGCACGAAACAGTGGACAAAAATCATCCAAAATACGATTTGTAGATGTTTGCGGGCTTCGAAATTGACGCTTTATTTTTTGATATTTTTGGATGAAATTTTCACAGAGTGCTGAAAACAAAACCCCACAGAGATATAGAGCCACTTTTTCATTTTTTTCACCAAGTTCCTTTTAAAAAAACCGCGAAGTTGAACAGAAAAACTTGTGCATAAACAAAATTTCAAAAAGTGCTCCTATAGCACCTTGGGCAATTATCTTCTGAACATACTGTATGAATTTCATTCAAAAACATTGAAAAATGGAGTGTCAATTTTGAAGCAGCTGAACCCTTGCAAATGGCTTGAAACTCACTGCGTCGGAAATGCCTTAAAACAGGGGCTGTTGACATTCTTTGGATATTCAGTTTTTTTTTTGAATAAATCAGTACCTATGTACCTTTCATGCATCAAAAAGTATTAAAATCGAAGCGACTGGTAAGTGGTATGAGAAATATCAGCATAGAACTGACAAACCAGGAAGCACGAAGTACCCACAGGATATATGACTAAATAACAAAATGCGATTAAGGCACACATTCAGTGTTTGTTTACCTTGCATCCATGAGTCACACGTTATCACGAGTTTTTTTTTGGGTGTTTACTCAGATGCAGTTGTAACACCCTTGAATTGGGACAGGAGAAAGAAAAGTGAATAGCAATCAGGCATACGTGAATGTAGCTAGTGTTTTTTTAAGTTGTTTATCAGTATTATCTTGTATAACAAAAACATATTTTTCTCATTTTGCTTTCAACATTCACTAATCCACATACAAATGAGAATTTAATCATAAATAATTGCGTAGTTTTGTCTATTTTTCTTAACTTAACTGTACTTTACCTTTTAATTGTATGCTACTTACTCATTTTACAGCAGGACGTATAAAGGTGTGATATGAGGAAGCGGAAGTTTTTCATGAGTCCGTATTTTTTATATTGGATAGTATACATTAGAAAAAAAACATTTCTTGCCGTTCAGCTATATGGCTTATTCTGTACCTCGGCTACAAGGTTCAGAGAAACCCCATCCCAAGTTATCAATGGATTTTGGATACATGGAGATACAATTGTGTATGCAAGATTTTACAATGCTTTCCAAAAAGGTCCTCCTGCTTACCTATTCTTTGATGGGGTCGAGCTGACTGCTGACATTCTGTGGAATAGCGAAATAGCGGAATTAATGCATGAAAACCATTTATTTTTGAATTCTTTAAGCAGGATGAGGACTTATGTGACACCTTATTTTGAAGCTCGCTATTAGCAGTTCATAACCCTACAGCATAAATTGACTTCTTTAAAAGTTTTTTTATTATATGGTTTACCCATATTTTGCTGCTTACTAAAATGTTGTGTTCGACATAGAATTGAACCCAATGTTGATTCCTGAGCAATACTTTTAGCAAGCCTTTGATCAATTACAATGCAGTACCTGCGCGAGAGTACTTCTTACTTCCTACGTCACTCGCAAGGAAGTACTGTAACCTTGACAACATTTCTAAAACGAAATATTCTTTTTGATGTTATATGACACGTACATCACGAAAAACCGTTTCCGTCGGTCTGTCTGTCCGCTAATCCTTGGCCTGTCTATAACTTGGGAGTACAGCTCGGGTTTTGATAAAATTTTACACAAGGTTTCTACTAAGCCAAGGACAGCGGTCAGTGGCGGCATTAAAATAGCTTTTGTCATTTCAAAGGATCCTGATTATTTATTTCCTGAATAATGTTTGCAATCCAATTTGGGGAGAGTGTATGTCAATTCTTTGATGTTAGCTATTTATACGTTTAGAACCCCAGTATTTCTACGCACTTATTTGGCATATTTCATATATCATAAACTTTCCCGCACATTTGGTCTTAAAACTTGATGACAGAGATATATTCTCTATATTCGCGGGTGCGACAACTCAACGAGCGTACGTTTGTCTGATTCGAATGCTGAGATGTAATTAAGCGTGTCCGAATACGCAATGTCTTGCTGGGTTTACGAGCGCTGCGGCAGGCAGAGTTGCCACGATGGTGGGTGGTCGATATGGTCAGTATGGAGGTAAGCTAGGTCGCTACGTTGTCAAATCTGTGGGGACTATAGACTAATTATATGAGCCTGTTTGACTGACATGGCCAATTTGATGCTTTTGATATGCATTTTCGTAGTCAACTTTTTCCTAAAAGGAACTTGTGCCGAATGTAGGTAATCCTTTGTGAATTGCGTTGCGCAGGAAGTGCAGAATCAACCTACTTGACGCCATTTTTTAAATACCAGTAAAACTGTACTACTACATAGACATTTACACATTTTGGGTTGATTGGATTATATTTGGAGGTTTTACACTTTGATAAAAGTAAGAAAAATTAGGAATTCCCAACATTCAAAATATTTATTGCGAACACCCGAAAACACAAACATAAAGTAATAATAACTCTAAATAGTTTATTATGATAATATGTAAAACGTTAATCAATTTTGTATGATGCAATTGCTTTTGTTCGCTCGGGGACGACTTTCTCCGTGATGTTCGACCACCATCAATATGTATTGTTTTTGTTGTTCGTCTCTGATTGATTTATTGAGCTTTTTCATCATCAGAGCTATTCCTCTTTATGCAGCATCATTGACCACCTTTAGAGTATGCACGTAGTTTACTAGAGAACCACTGCAATATTTGTCGTCCACGCCCACTGTTGGAAAAACCGTAGCAAATAGTCAAATTTGCATCACTAAGCTATTAAAAAATTTCATTAATAGCTAACTCATTACCAGTGGTCTGTACAGTATCAATGAGATTTTTCCAAATTTTGTGATAGTAATGTAGATAATTGAATGTATAGTAATTTACTCTGACTCATTTGACTCCATTTGTAGTGTCATACATGAGTCAGAAGGATAGAATAATTTCAATCATTTTGCTATTAAGAAGAATCAGAAAGTAAGTACTTCTGTTTACCATGACTAGAATCACTAAAAAGATAAAGTGAATTTGGATTGATAAGTCCAGGCAACTTGAGCAGAAAATGCGGTGTAGCGATTTTGCGGAGAGATGATGCTGCCTAAGCAATAGTTTAATGATGAGTATTCATGTCTCACTGAAAAAGAGCTTAAGTAATATATTTAAAGTTGCCCTACCCCTCCAGAATCTCAAGCCTACTATAAATGTATTTATGCATTTTGACATCTCAGTTTCTAGCTGCACGCAATTCGTCAGTGTTGAATTTAAAGATTACAGTTTTAATTCGGCAACCGAGTCGTTTGGTGTTCGGCCAAGCGAACCGCTTGGGGGTCCGAGAGGTTTCTCAAACTTCCAGCGGATTCGCAGAAATGAGCAAAATGGTCATTTTCATGCCTATATCTGAAATTTAAACTCCTTTCTGAATATACCTGTCCAGGTTTTCCCTACCTCGGGGTAATATCTATTCCTATTCCTTTGTGATCTAAACTGGAGTATATGTAGGAAGGGAAAACTACTTTATATGAGTTTAATTGCAACTCCTTCTACTGAAATAAATGAAGCAGCTTCAATCACAATCTGAGGTCTTTCTCGTTTTTACTTACAAATCTTATTCCAGTGTAAACAATATACCACCACGCGTGGTAATATACTCTTTCCAGTTTCTGTGGCAGATAAAATTTCAGATGCTCAACATATCACATCGACGTGTCGTTTTAAATTTAACAACCTGGTGGTTAAGAGATACATAACTTCTAATACTTTTCAATTTATCTATAATGGACTCATGCGTGGTATCATTCGAAATTAAATTTCGAGGATTTCCTGTAAGGCCTTCACAAAAGCAACGACATTTTCAGAGTAATTTGTCGAATTGTTTTTTAATAGTTCTAAAGAGGCTAATAATGATAACAAATTGCCAAAATTGTCATCGAATTGATTTGGAACAAGCTTACTTACCAAATTGAACAGTTTCACTGCCGCCATTGGCATTTCTTCTTCGTTAAATGGTATGAATCGGTAAATAGCACTATATGATAAGAATAAGTCATAAGGAATCTTTTCCACGGAAGAGAAATCCCAAATCTTGAATTAACATTCAACTTGATTCATATGCATTCGACTTATACTTGCACTCACACTGCACAGGGTGACTTCACTTTTGTTTGTTGATGTCTTTTTTTCGAGATCGGCTATCCAGGAGCGTGGTTGATGTTACACGCGGGACACTGATTGCATTGAAGCACTTATGTCCCGTCAAACTTGCTTCTTCATGTTCTTGTGTTCGTACAATTTTATCAGTAGTTGATGATCTAATCAGCAATCACTAAATATAGCATAACTTTGACGTCTTTGATCTCGTTGTACTTATGTTCCTATACCAAGATGTGGGAGTCAACAAATGCCAATTTCAGTTGCCTTGCATTTTCCATAGCTTACTTGTCGTTTATATAATCTATCTACAGACGTGACTCCTAGTATGAAGTTGATAGTTTAAAGTGTATATTGACAATACTTGCTAAATGCAATCGCCGGATATTCCGTAAGCTTTTTTCCTACACTAGCAGTTTTTGTTAAGTGCATAATTTTCACACCATAAGGTACAATGCACTCTGATGACGTATTTACAACACGTGCCGGATGTTATGAATACAGATTTCAACAAAATGACTAAGCTGGGAAGAACATACAAATATGAAGAACCTTTCACCATTCCTCACTCAGTAGAAAACTCAGATAAGATGGCCTGGAGAGCTGTTCACGCGGTGTGTTGCTGCCGATAACTCTTCATTCGCAATTTTGTGTAACATAAAGTCTCAAGCCTTTCGCATCGACAAGTGGATATACTAATGGACTGTGTTCTTGTGAGTTCTCTTCCATGATGCAACTGGTTCTAGGCTTGCTAGACAAACTCTACAGATTTCTGCTCCTAACTTTAATTCTGAATAACTTTGCGTTGTTTAAAAGTTGTGTCAATAAATATCTCTTTTCTTCACAGCCGTAGAAGTACTGTGTCCAGGTCCTAGTTTTGTACCTAGTTATTTATGAAAGAAGATATACACATGTATTCATAAAAAATCGTTTCAAGAACCTAATTTATGACACTGGAAAAAAAACTCGGAATATCCCACTACAAATAAATATCAATTATTACACAAAAACAACCGATTTTCGTGCACATATCTAACGATAATGATGGATACATTAAAAAAATGAATCAAAGGTCGAATATGATTGGTGTGCAGCTAAGTTCACTGCCAAGGTTGGAGAGCATTCGAGAGTGAACAGGATCAGATAGGTGCATGTTAGCGTTCCGCATCGTTTCAAATATTATTAGGGTTATTATGCAACATAAATGCAGGTATTAGGCGGTATCGCCTGAAAAATGATCAGCGTTTATAGATAATAACTAATGAATTTGATATAGCGGAATTTGGTAGAAATCAGACAAGCGCTGAGGAAATGTACTAAGTGACATATAAATCCGAACACCCAGTTTAAATGGTTTTATTTTAATAAAAGTTGGTGAACGTATTTATCTTACTGTAAATAACAAGTGAAAAAAATTTCAGCCTTATTAGTTAGACATTCCGATTTTTATACTGCTTTTTTTTAATTCACTAACGCTCTAAAAATGAATATTTCAGCCGCAGTAAAGAATCAACGTTGGCGGATTTTGGTTCTTGACCGTTTTTCCACTACCAGGTCCATTGCAAATGAATGGTTTGCAGAACACGGAAGACCTATTGGCATGCGGAGTGTTTACCGACGAATGAGAAGTTTTATCTTGTTTTCATACCGGCCACACTGGGTCCTCCCTTTAACTCGAGAACACCGACGTAATCGCCTTGAGTGGTGAAGACAACGGTCACTCTGGGATCAGGAATGGAACAGTATTGTCTTTAGTGACGAGTCTCGATTTTGTTTAGGCATGCACGATGGTCGTGCCAGGGTTAGAAGGCGACGTGGTGAAAGGAGGAATCCACAGTTTTTTGTTGAAGTACATGTTCATCACACTGTTGGAGTTATGGTTTGGGATGCTATAGCTTATGGTTCCAGGTCACCTTTAATCTTCATCAGAGGTAACATGAACGCGCAGCGTTATAACCCCATCTTTTACCCTATCTTGACAGCCTGGCAGATCCAACTTTCCAACAAGATAATGCCCGACCACATGTTGCAAGAGTCACAATAGACTTCTTTCAACCTAATGATGTCACATTGTTGCCATCGCCACCAAGATCTCCCGACTTATCCCCAATTGAGCACGTGTGGGATATGATGGGTAGGAGATTGCTCAATTTACAACGTCCTCCTCAGACTCTAGAAGCACTTCGAGAGGAGTTGGTGGTTGCCTGGAATGAGATACCACAGGAGGACATTGACCACCTGGTCAGAAGCATGCCTAGGCGTGTTGGAGAATGCGTAGCACATCAGGGTGCATCCACACATTATTAAAGGTCAAAGGGCTTTAAAGCAGTGCAATCATTTTGAAATTTTTATCATTTACTTATTATGCTTCATTAAGTACTTATACAAAATTTTAATAAAATAAAACCATTTAAACTGGGTGTTCGGATTTATATGTCACTTAGTATGTGTAGCATATCTGCAGTTAGCACCGTATGTCCACTAACCTGGAGCCTTTCCATAACACGAAAAGTACCACTCAGACTATAGTCTAATCATATTAGCAAATTTCCCCGAAATAATTGTAAAATCTGGTTTTATTGGTGCCAGTGGTTGAGGAGAGTATTCAAAACATGGACGCCTAAAATGGGTATACCAATTTTTGTGGGAAAACTTTTTATTTGACAACAAATAATGATAAAATGTGTTTTTTGGGATTCAATCGGAAGTGTTGACAGGTAGGAAAAAAGTTTTCATATAAGATTTTTAGGTATTTATGAGACCTACAAAATGAGACTACACATAAAAAGATCCGGCTAATAGCATAAATATTATGGCCGAAAGCGTTTTGCATAAAAATAATATTTATCTTCTGGAATGGTTTGTGATTTATAGCGGCAAGGTGTACTAGTGTAGTTTGCTATAAACTTCCCTTTGAACTATATATATTGCTCAATCAAACTAGTAGTGATGGCCGGAAAACAGGTGTTTCGGGATAAACAATTAGAAATTCTCAAAAACTACTTGACCAATCTACTTCAATTTTGATGTGGATATTAGAAGTACGAATCTTACGAATTTGAAGAATTTCAAACATCTGCGAGAAACCAATGTCGCATTACCAACAGTGCCAAAACCTGCATTTTGCCTCGTTTTCCGGCCATAACATTTTTGCTGTTAGTGGAAACTTTTTACGTGTGGTCTCAGTTTTTAGATCTCATAAATACCTAAAAATCTTATATGAAGAATTTTTCCGTTACTGCCAACACTTTCGATTGAATCCCAAAAAACACGTTTTCTCATTCTTTGTTGTCGAATAAAAGGTTTTCAAACAAAAAATGGTGTACCCATTTTATGCGTCCATGTTTTGAATACCCCGTTGAACAACTTGCCCCTATAAAACCAGACTATACAATTATTTCGTAATTCAGGGGTATTTTCGTCTAATATGATTAGACTACTACTATATGTTCACTATCATCCTGTATGAAAGGACCCCGCAATCACCATACGGTAAATGGCTTTAGGCTAATCTTTTTCAAAAGTTTAGGATGTGTTGCAGATCTTAACAAATGGAACAAAATGGGCTCAAGGTTTTTTCAGGAGTAGTTTTCAAGGTACACGGTATGAAATAGATGTCTGATACTAATTTGCGCTTTTATTACGATTACTACTTGCCGATTCAGTAAGATCGGAATTATGTTACATGTAAAGGGTGGCCCCAACCTGCATCGATGAAGTGTTGCCCCAAAACACAAACCTTACAAAAACTGTAAAGGATTATTCTGGATTGTCTATGTGAAAGTACGTTCCAAAAGTGTTTAGAATTATTCGGGAAGTTCGACTAATGATCTGGGTAACCAAGTTTTTTTGATAGATACCTGCAGCTTCTGTACTCCAATTACTGAGTTTTATCAAGTAGTTGCTGTGATAATAGTTTATATTTTTTCAAAAAAAAAAGAAAATATAACAACCAGTACATATCACTTTAATAGACGTAATACTGAATTTACTGTAACAAAATATAATCTTCATTGCTGTCTAGTCTACTCATTCTTTAAATTGTTCAAGTCAATAAGAAAATTGTTTGTTCCTCAAAAAATCCAAATAGACACCCAGTGTGTTTTGAACTTTACAAATCCTACTATTCCTAAGTTGTTTTTATATACCTAGTCATGCGGTTTAGTCGCGGGTTAACATATTTTAATCTTTTTTTAGACAAAACACACACCCACAAACTTTTGAAACATTGAATACAATACATTGTCTGCAAAAATCATAACGGTCTCAAATAATTTATTTGCCATTATGAAACAAATGCTTTGAAAGCAAATTTTTAATATGTTAGAAGAGCATCTGGCAGTCGCTTAGACATTTTTTACATAATGACAATAAGCTTGCGGTTTCACAGTACATCGATGAAACACTTGTTATCCGACTTGTAACTAACCAGATTAAATTATCCATATCAATCATGTGAAAATGGAATTCAATTTAAAAATGGTGACACTTTTTGTGAATGAGAATCAACCCTGAGCGAATTCCTTGAGCGATAAAGATCCAGCTCGTTGGAGCAGGTTATGTAAACTATGAGATTCAAGTCGCGTTTTATTCGAAATCGATTAAATGTCAGTGTATTTCGTCAAGTTCAAGGCTTGAGTCAAGTTGCCCATGAAAAAGTGGAACCTGTCTTGGTTCCAAATGTTTGGCATACATGTGTGGGATGAGAATTGTGTTTAAAATGCCGTCTGAATAAAAAACTATTGAATTATGGGATACACAAGTGTACCTGTATGTATGCTGTTACATAATTATGATTTGAATATTGGGCACATCTTGTTAACCTATCACAACGACTCCTATATTGTGTTAACGAGAAGTACAAGACACATTTTTGTCACAATTTCCGGAAACTGATTTGGTAACTGAAATGCACTCATTGATGATTATTCAGGATTGGTAACTTTTTTGAAAAGCTCAGATAACCCAAAAAAATCGTCAAATTCTGGAAAGCATTTGTTTTTGTTTACTACTGCTGATCGCTGTTGTCTGATCGTTACTTCCCGCATAGTATAGGAGATGTAGTTCCAGTATTATATAGACAGGGTATTTATAAAAGCAGTGCCAACATTGCGGTAGAGGGTACGACCAAAAATAACATGCAAGGTTTATATAGATCGGGCGTGGAACGTCCCTTAACCGCGATACAGGGTGTTCAAGTTGTATCGGAGAAATGTAAAAAAATATGTAGCCATTCAAGGTTCAAGTATTGAGGGTGAAATCGTACAAATCTACAATTCTATTGTAAACAGTCTAATTTCTCTCTATTCTTGAATCACCACAAAGGTATATGAGTAATATTAATATTTCATCGTATTATTGGCGTGCTTCAGAATACCCTACACCTACACATTATGGGCAAAAGGACATTTAGAGAACTGCGTATAAACAGGAACTTCTAGATACGACCATTGTTTCCTGAATCACACCTTCTATTGTTATTTTTTATCCATTATCATGTCACCACAACATACAATGCAAGATAACTTTTGAGGAATCTGATAAAATGTATATGTTAACATTTCAAATTAGCTACCTATTTACCGTTTCGTAAGAAAAACGCCAAACCACTGTGGGTATTGCTGCGGTTTCGGATTTCTTGAAAAACCTTGACGGTGCAATGTCGTGTTTTAGGCGTGAACTTTAGTTTTTTCATTGTTTGATATTTTCCGCTATCGACCTTAATATGTGAGTGACTTTGATATATCTACAAATCGGTTAGCGATTGTTTCAGAAATTACGATAAACTGACGAAATTCCCTAATATCTATATATTTCGACGACCCACCTTTACTACGGTAAAAATATTTGAGCGACAAATCCAACTGGAGATAATTTCCTACAATTTTTGCCTTCAGTATTTTTTGTGGAATGAATAATTTCGGCATACAGAGGCGACAAAATTTAATACGAATAAACGGGAAATTGTCCGTTGGGTCAAAGATTTGGTAGCTTAACCTGGGCGTTTTGAAAATGTATAAAAAATCACTGCTTTTATTTGTTTTGTGCCCTTTTCTAATCTTCACTCCACACGCTTGTCGCTTTGCCGCTAAGTATTTCGACTGAGTTTTTAAGATTAATATATTTTCGCATTCTGTCCAATAATTTGGCTTCATGATACAATAAATTAGCGGACATTTACAATTTAAGAATTTAAGTAGATACCAATATTTTTTGATTGGTTCCGGGTACAGCAAAGTATATTCTAACGATAGGTACACATTCGTGAGGAACACGTAGATGTTTTCTAGTTTAACCTAGGACATAAGATTTTTCATCTTGAAACAAACTAGAGAGGAAATTTTGTCAATACGCTGTTTATAGCGGCTTGAGCTGAAAAATCGGAAAGAGCGCTCCAAAATCCCCTAAAAATTTAATTTTGGAACACCAAATGATGGTATTATAATATACTTATAATCCAGTGAAAAACTCTGATTGCTTGAACTGTATCAAGTATAGGCAGTGCAGTCTGTCCAGGCCAGTGTCTGGTATAATTTTATTTGGAATTTGTACAGACTGAGGAGTTTTGGATGGCGAAAAGTACTGTCTTTTTTACACTGGAGCGGCCGAGCAGGCAGAAGCCTAGATGCCAGGGCACCGCTGCTCTATGAGGAGCTTAAAGAAACTTTGTCAATCCGTTGGCGTAGCGGTACAATAGAGCCAGATCGCCGCCGACCAGCCGGTGCGAAGTGGTCCCGAGACTGTCCGTCAGGAAAAAGTCATCGACTGGTCGGATAGCCCTCTCCTCTGAACAGCATCAGGCAGGGATACACCCGAAAAATGTGAGCAGTACTCGAGGCAAGACGTTTTCTGGGCCTTGTACAGAGTGAGGTCATGGGGAGAAAAGTATTTACTAGCCCTAAAGAAATAGCCTAGCTTCTTCCTAGCAGCTGCCGCTATGGACGAGGTGTAAGCCCTAAACAGATAATTCAGCCTTTTTCGTTGAGGAAGAACAGTATTGGACTTTAAAGGCATCAAATCGCACCAGAGTCATGTTAATCAGTGATAATAATAATAATAATAATAATAAGAATAATAATAAAAGGTCTTCATTGGAATATAAATGTACGTAACATATTATTCCTGATAGGCGGAGCCTACATAAATTTTTTTATTCCACCCAACCTACTTCAATAATATCGGCAATAACATGGCGAATGTTGTCTTCTAAATGGTCAAGCGTTTGTGGCTTATACGCATAGACCAATGACTTTACATAGAAAATTGTCTAGCGGTGTTAAATCACAAGATCTTGGAGGCCAATTCACAGGTCCAAAACGTGAAATTAGGCGGTCACCAAACGTGTCTTTCAATAAATCGATTGTAGCCCGAGCTGTGTGACATGTTGCGCCGTCTTGTTGGAACCCCAGCTCCTGGAAATCATGATTGTTCAATTCAGGAATAAAAAAGTTAGTAATCATGGCTCTATACCGATCACCATTGACTGTAACGTTCTGGCCATCATCGTTTTTGGAGAAGTACGGACCAATGATTCCACGAGCTCATAAAGCGCACCAAACAGTCAGTTTTTCTGGATGTAACGGTGTTTCGACATACACTTGAGGATTAGCTTCATTCCAAATGCGGCAGTTTTGTTTGTTGACGTAGCCATTCAACCAGAAGTGCGCTTCATCGCTAAACAAAATTCGCTTATGAAAATCGGGAACAACGGCAACCTCGTTTTGGGCCCATTCAACGAATCTACTGATGATCGTTTGGCTTCAATTCTTGCACGAGTTGGATTTTGTAAGCACGCAAACCAAGATCCTTCTCGAAAATTTTCCATGAAGTGGATGGACACAGATCCAATTCCTGTGGACAGATTCGGGTCTTCCTCAATGCTACGCTCTACAGTAGCAATAGCTTCTTCTGTATGCACCGTAAGGCATCTTTGGGCATGCGAGTTATCAATTAGAGTAAACGTGGTACGAAAACGTTCCATGGATAATCAAATTAATTGCTCTGATGGACGATTTTGTCGACGATAAAATGGACGTAGTGCGCGATACGTTTCCGCACAGAACCATTATTTTCGAAATAAAACTGCACAATTTGCAAGCGTTGTTCAGGAGTGAGTCTATTCATGATGAATTGCAAAACCAAACTGAGAATAAATCACTTGACAGCTGTCAAATCGGTCGCCATCTTCAAAAGTAATGCCAACTTAAAGTTCTATACCTCGAAAAAAACACCCGTTACAAGAAATCATACCATCTGTCGCCAATCAAGCGACATTACTCGACAGTTTTTTTGGGAGATGTTGATTATGAGCAAGCTTAAAGCCTACTGAGGAAAAAATTTGAGAGAGGCGTTCAAGGTTAGATCCCCTGATTGAGCAGAACCTCTTATCGCAACACTAGAATTGGAAGAAAACAATAACTCATCAAGGCATGCGAAACTTACATGAATTAACCAAACCTCCTACGTCTTCTAAGCTTAATCGAGCTTTTGTCCAAGTATACTCTGACCTTGAGCCAAAAATATATACAAGTCGTGCATAAATCATATGAAAACAAGCGTCAAGCGTCAGCGTGTAACAACTGGGATCCTCGACACGCGATCATCAGTCCGCATCGGTCAAGATCAAGGCTTGCCAGATATACAGACGATAGCCTGCTGCATGTAGTTCAATGGATCCATGAATATCGTTACCAGTATCGTAATAAAATGTTAACTTGTCAGCAGAACATGTAGAAGTTTTCTCCGAACCAATACTGTAATTTGATTTTTAGTTTAATCTGCAGGGCGAATGTATAAATATAAGTATAGTGAAGGCATGAACCATTTTTTTCATTTACTGTTAGTATTGTATCTCTTAATCCGAAATGAAGGCATATCAATTTGTCACTATTGTCATCTATAGAAGCGATTTATCTCATGCGACAACGAAAGACGGAGTTCTGAAAAAGCAGTAGTATCTTTCTAGACACGCGACTTATAGATCATGTCGCCCGACTTTAGCTAACAGAGGTGCACATAAACAATATATACTGATTAAAAACATCACATTATTCTTTAAACGGATAAAATAAGTGAGCTGACGCTGCATTTATACAAATAACTAAGCTATGCATTGCAGTTTTCTGTTTTCTTTGGTTCTCGCTTAGTTTTCTTTCCCTACTTCCAAAATTTGCTTCTTTTACACTAATATAAGTATACCCAGTGACAACAAAGCAACCCAGTGATTCCATTAGAAAGGAATTTTAGTGTCCGACCGATTTTTTGGACCAAAAGCCGGTTTTCGCGTTAGTTTCGATTTGGATTTTTTGCTTCAACCTGCATGCCTGGTTTCTTGTCGATAGATACTCTTTAGCTTGTTATACAGGGTAAATTGAAATGAGTTTCCATTACCCTAACTTCGTCAGCTAATAAGATCGCAATGCCTCCCATTATCAAGAACCGCTTTGTTTTCTATAAATTGCCCTGAACTCAAGTCAGTATGTGCAGTGGATCAATTTTTAGTGTCAAGCACACTTTTTACTAAGAATTTACGTTTTTCCTTCTATAAATAATATATCCCAATTTATTTTTCCTGTTAAGTTGTACAGAAGTTTATTGTATTTTATTCGTACTATGTTTTTTTACAACGTCTTTCATTTTGTTTGATATACTGGAAGGATGAAAAAGGAAATTATTGCCCTAGTTGTAAAAGGCGCATTATGATAACCACAGGTTAGAAACTAGAAGACATTATTCTGTTCTTTAAGAGAGAAAGTTATTACTGTTTCGTTAGTAACTTATTCTTGATTATATTTATTTATACAAATTGTTTATTAAAAATAGAAAGTCTAGTATAAAGTTTGTTTATTCTTGGAGGTACACCTCTTGCATCAAATGGGAGACGGTTTTCATAAAATATTAATTATTACCTGATCAAATAATTTTTCTTCCATGATCATCTATAAGAGGTTTCGGTTTCGATTTCCATTCTGGTCGAAGGTAAAGCTAGCTCTAAAATTTCGGTTTCGTTAAAAAACCAGTTCAGACGGACGCCAGAAATTTTGTATACATTTAGGAGGAAATAGGTATTAAATTTTGGAGTGAACAGGGTTGTTGTATCGACGAATTTACCATTGCCATAAACAAATACATTCGTCTATTCGTCGGGGTCGTGTTCTGAGTGGGTGATTTTTGTTTCTCTGAGATATCTTATCTCGAGCTAGTAGTACTTGGTCCCGAATAGCTGTCAACGTTGATGAATCATGAAGGTTCTCTTCTTTCCCTCATATTAGTCACAATGTTGAAATCCCAAAATCATATTCTTGATAAATCAAGAGACTTTAGGGTTCTTAAGGTGAGGCCGACAAAAAAACGTCAGGATGTTCAACAGGCTCTTTTGGAATTGGATCCTGTCGCGTATTCAGGCCTGTTAGATCAAGGTCGTGTGCTAGTGAATGTTGATAACTGTTGTGTGCTGTTAATACCGTATGTAACAGAGTCTCAAACCATGATTCCTACAGTACGGTGCAAGTGATGTTCAACTGAAAGCCTTACATCATTTCTTTCTCCAACACAGCCCTGACTCGTGCCCGTCCATCGTGCTTCTCTAAAACAAATTAGGACGATGAATGGTACAACATTGTTTTTTAGTGATGAATGTTGATTAAGTATGACGGACAGGCACAAGTGAGACGGCGTCGTGAAGAAAGATTTAGCGTTTTCAGTTAAACGTCAGATGCACCTTACTGTATCAGTTAATCCAGTTATGGTTTCCATTAAGGAAGTGTGTCGGCGGTATATCCAGGAAATGGAACATTTTATTTTGCCATTGCCCCATACACTTGGAAAACCTATCTTCTAACAAAATAAAGCCCTATATTGCTAGATCTACAATACTCTACCTCAATGAAGCTCAAGTCAGCCGACTTCAATAGCTTCCTAGGTCTCGAGACACTTCGCTGACTGAACATAGTGAAATACGGTGGGAAGAAAAGTGGCCTCTATACCTCATCCTCTACAAACGCTAACAGCTTTTCGGAACCAAATACCTTGGGATGAGATACCTCAGGAAGATATCATTCCTTCAAAAGCATGTCCCTACGACTGGACGAATGTGTATGTCATTGAGGTGACTCAGCATATTATTAGAGACATTTGGCGTACAGCAAATGTTCTCACTTCAAAATTTGATCACTCCGTTCTGCCATATTGCTCGTGTCTAACTGTATAGAAAAGTCCTTGAAATAAAACCATTTTTATTGGGTGTTTTATTTCTTCTGACTGAGTATATCTGCTTCCACAACACTCAACGATCAACAATAAATAAGATTTCAAAGAGGGGTATATGATTTTTGTTGGAAATAAATATATGAGATTTGGATCAAAAGAATTGCGAAGAAATGAATTTCTGTAAAAAGTGGGCTGGTTTTGGACGTGAGCTCCTCAATTAATCTTCAAAGCTCTGGTGACGGTTTAGAACTAAGTATGTAAAAGCTCCTGGTATTCCGTGCGAAAGTACTTTCCGCACTGAAAATGTTATCACTGTTTCTCTTTGTTTCAGGCTTTGGCGGCCATTTGTGCACATTCAGTATCCATCTCTATAGGGATAGTACAGGGGTATAGTGCAATTTCACTACCACAACTCAAGGAATCTAGGCAATTTTCAAATCTGTCCATGGAAGAAACGTCTTGGATAGGTGAGTTGAATAAATTAAGTTAGTAGCCTAATATGCAAAAAATGCGTTTTGAACGGTAGTGGTAGTGTATGTATTATTGTTTTTTTGTTGCTTACCTGGTTATTTAAAAATAATTTACTCATGAGTGAGTGTTAATTACATGAAATGTATAAAAAATACTGTGGGTATACCCATTATGCTATCAATTAAAAAGATTCTAGAGCCGTTCAAGGTGAACCATACCAATACTGGGCTTAGAAGATATGTATCCTTTCTTTACGTAATCCAGATGAATCACCAATATTGTCTACTTATCTCATTTTTATTGAAAGACTTCAGCATCATACATGTCATTAGATATTCACTTGATATTAAGATATGTTTTTAGACTTAATAACATAATATACATAACAAAAATAGTAAGTCAAGATCTCACAGGTAGGTGCAGATGTTTTATTTTATGTGGTATATATATGCTTCAGAGATCATATTACATAGTACCGGCTGAAGATAGAAGCAATATTTGTTTTGTTCAACATACTAAGATATGTTGGAAACCCCTTGTATAAACTCCAAAAATGATCCTTTATGGTACCATAATTTGGAGTAAGCAGATTACTATTTACTATATACTATTTCATAATTTTTGATTGATTTGCCTGAGAACCCAAAATTTCTTAGTTATTCATTGTTAAAGACATTGCCTTAGTTCTTGCAGCCTTTATAATGTCACTACTAAACGAGTACATGAGGGGTTTCAATATTGATATCTGCTGATCTGTTTGCAAAGGAGATCAAGGCAAAGAACCCTACCTACAACTATAATAATAATAATTTAATGCTCTCTTATACGAACAATGGGGAATATTTACATTTTAAATAAATTCGATCAAGATTTTTTGCACAATCTGGTGGCCTTTTTGTAACCGCCCATCAGACTTTCTAGACGATAATTTCATATAATACAGTCAATGTTTATTTCAGAACAGAAACAAAACATCACGTATATATATTGAACGATTCACAACGATTCAATTAATAGTTTTTGAAACGTTTCCTGTCAAATACAAAAAGTATAGGATATGTGTATGTCTGCAACTAAAAAAAGAGTCAAGTAGGTTGACCCTGCACTTACCTGCACAGTATATAAATGATTATGTCCAGCATGTATAATTACCGGGGTTGAGAACGTATAAATTGAGAAATGCCATTCCCTCGCCTACAGCCTCCAACCCACAATTTTAATTACTATAATAATTTTTCTCAGAATGAGGAGTCTTTGAAACGTCAAAAGTTCGAACGATTTCTATATTTCTCGCTTTGTCCCCTGTAGGTCCGCCGCCAATGGACCGATTTTTCAAAAACGGTAAGACTATACTTTAGCGCAGATCGCAAATACATCATTTCTCACTTTAAAATGAACCATTAGGCTGTAACTTTTACGAAAATATCATTATTTCTTTACGGAACCCTTTGCTTGCTATTTTATAGAACTTCAAACTTGCATTTTTGATGGCAATACTCTAGTATAGAATACTGTTTTATACATTGCCTTTTTTTGTTTAGTACTAAGAAAAATAAATGTGAAACTGTGAAAAATCGTTGTTTTTTGGAAAAAGGGTTGAAACTAGATGAAGTTTTGAACAGTATGTGTCTAAATAGTGGAAAATGAACCAGCGCGTGACGTAAAAAATACAAAAGGCACCAGCGGTCATTGCATATAAAAATACCCAACGTCAATTCGTCGATTTGGACCACCTCTCCAGGTCCAGCCAACATATCATTGTCCAACATGATACTTAAATAAAGATCAGCGATCAATTAATCAAATCATCAAAGAACTTGCAATGTTCTTTGTTATGTTTTTATTATTTAGTGATTGGCAACAGCTATTTTTTCAGTTATTTCTCATATATATATATATATATATATATATATATATATCACATTTATAAGTATATTTTGTGACATCAGCTTCACTTTAAATAATTCTTCAAGTACATACATACAAAAAGTATTATAACTATAATATAGGAAAAACAATAACCAAAGTACTTTTATGAAGGGCATAAGGCATTCTTCAAAAAGTATATTTAGCTAACGCTATTGTAGAGCACGAGGTGGATTTAGTACAGTGAAACCTTCCGGTCACACCTCCAAATCGCATTTTCATGACAATCCTGTGCCGATTGCTAATTTTTGCGCTAGTAAGGATTTGACAAACCAAATGAAGGTATATTACTATCCATGATTTGGTAATATCGCAACAATGAGTATGATAGTGATGGTGGTGTAGTGCCGGGAATATTTATCCGAAATAAAAGAAATGAACAAATCAACAATGAACTATTTTTAGCATTAGAATAATGCAAAAGTGCATTATTACGATGAGGGGTGTCACAGTAATTTACAGTGTATGTTATATTCATATAATTTTGAGCAAACTTTTGTGTAAATAAGAAAAAAACAGCTTATAAAGCTATACCACAGTATTACCACTCAAAATGGAACTTTGAAGTTCTATAAAATAGCAAGCAGAAGGTTCCTTAAAAAAAAATTAATATTTTCATGCAAGTTACATCCTAATCTTTCATTTTAAGATAAGAAATGCAATATTTGCGATATGCGCTAAATATAGTTCAGCCTCAAAAACTACAAAGATTTCTCATCCTTGGCTTCGTAAGTAATCTTGTGTAAAAATTTTATCTCAATCCGAGTGATACTTTCAAAGCTATAGACGGGAACTAGCTAACAGACCGACAGACGGTTAGTCAGACCGACGGAAATAAGTGAGATGGCTTTTATATAACATCCAAAAATCATAATATTACATTTTCAAATTTTTTTGCGATTAGAATATTTCTTTGCTACTGGTGTAAGTACTAAACATGTTCAGACTGATTTTACAATGGAATTATATTCTTGTGAGTAAATGGAGGTACAAAATTTTTATGGATATCCTTTTACACTTACTGTAAGACAGTTTAAATATTTACCCATTGCCCTCTCGGTTATATTTCAATATACGAAATAAGTATTTGCTTTTAATTTTTATATTTAATAAACTGCTTATCCTGCATTTTTGTTGCATTTCTAGTTTTAAAGCCTTTCCAGTTACTCTTATATTACTCTATTGTAAAATCTATCTATAATCTCTTTTCTAGAGCAGGGTCCAACTTTATTTAGTTGTCCTGATCTCTATGACCTCCTCTCCTAATTTTTATGGGATTCATACTCTTGATTACAAGCTTGTCAGATAACTGAATTAATAAAAATTA